TGTAAATTTTGTATAAATTGTCTTTCAAATAATTATCAAGCCAAAATACCTATTAGATGCCATCTCTATGTTATCTGTATTGATCATTGATCGTTTATATCATTGAACATGAGTGGACATGATTCAAAAATCTGATATCAAACTTTTATAAAATGCTTTATAAAATTTCTTGTATACTGAAGATGTGATCAAGAAATGATTTAATGAGAAATATGATACATTGGCCCAAATTTTTAAGCAAAAACTGAATGAAACTGATTATATGACTATCTATAGATATTTGATTTTCGAAGTCGCATTAGCAAAAAATTTTTTGGGAATCACTTGAGTGCATTTCATAGCGAATAGAAGATAAAATCAGAAAATATTGAAGTTATCGAGTTATAAAAGGTCAAAGAAAATGAATTTTAAAATTCTCTGATTTCTCCAGATGAAAATTTTCCATGGCCAAATATAAAATATGTAAATTTTAACATTTAGAATCAAGGATTGTAGGAAAACTAGCCTATATTATAAAAAATAATGCAAAAAAAAATAGCATAATAAAATTTTGGGTGCAAATTCAAGCCAACAAAAAAATAAATTAGTATTGAAAAAAGAATGCAGTTTTGATGAAAAAGAATGATCAAATAAAAATACTGAATAAAATATAAATTTTAATTATTTTATTAAAAAGTGCGTTAGTTTTGAACATATTTGACTATAAATATTAGAGATATAATATTTAAACAATTATAACAATTATTTAAAATAGGAGCAGTTTAAGAAAAATTGTGAGCAAATTTCTTATAAAATTCCAAACTTTTTTTTATATTCTCTCCTAATTTTTCTCGATTTTCCATGACCAATTTCAATTTCCCTGACTTCCCGATTTTCCCGGTTTTCTAAGACTGTAACAATCCTATTATTTAAATACATTATAGATTATATATTGCTCATATAATCCTGGAATCAATCTCAGAAAATGATACATTAATATTAATATTAAGCAGCAGTGTGATTAATAATAAGACTAGTGATTAATGTCGTCACCTCGACATTTATTCAGAACAGACACATAATTTGTTTTGTTCATACTATCAATTTGATGACAAGAGAATTATAAAAAATTGCAAAGGCCTTAATAGTCTCGTTAATAAAGTTAGATCATTTGTAAAATTTATGACAAGCAATATCTAATAAACGAGTTATATCAATGTCAAACAGACTCAGGTACATTTGAAGATGAAATAAAGAAATTCATTCTGGATGTTAAAATAAAGTGAAACAGTACATTCTACATGATAAAACGATTCGTCGAATTATGGAACGTGATCAACAAAGTTCTATTTGCAAAACATACGACTGCAGACGTTTTGAGTTCATCACGTTAAAGAAGATATTAGATCTGCTGAAACCACTAAAATTTATTGCTCAAGAATGCTTGGCCAAGAATTATATTGCAATATCGAAGATAATATACTCACTGTGATGCAAGATAATATACTCACTGTGATATATTATGAAGACGTACAGACTTGAAATTATGAAACTGAAAGAAAACATCCTACCAAAATTGAAGACGTGATTCGATTACGTAGAATTCATCAATCTGACTTCTATCGCCACCATCCAATACTTGGATGCCTGCTTTAAGACCCTTTACTTACAGAACGCGCAGGCTCTGACTGATGCCAAATACTTGTTGCGCGACATGATATGATGAAATAGTCTAACTCATCCAGCAAATCTGAACAGCAAGTTCGATCTTCAGTTCCATCACGATATTTTGATTATACCCACGGAAGAAGATAAAGGACGAGTCATAACATCGAAGGACGAGCTTTGTACTTGGCTAATTCATTAGCTTATTTGAAAGACAATCTTTTAGAGAAATTGAAAAGCATCAAATTTTTACCAGGAAAAATAAAATAAATTGTATATAGAATGAGAGTTATACTAGAAGAAAAATCGGAGAATTACTATTTATTATTTATCTCTCAAATATCCCTTATTGTACATTTACATATTGTAGTGGTAATGAAATACTTTACGACTGCATCAGTCCCAGCTAAAAGATTGTTCTCAAAAACGAGAATTCAAATCTAGTAGTAATCAAGTCTAATCAAGTAATCGATTAGGAAAAGATTAAATAAATTATTATTTTTTTAAATGAATAAAGATTAGTTTCAAGAAATCATTAATCTTATTGATAATGACTTATTAAAATGACAATAATTCTTGAAATTACAATATTTTTTATAGACATTTATCTTCATATTTATCTGTATATGAGGCATTCCACGTCCGAGTACCTTTGAAACATTGTTATTTTTATATAATACTCATATAATTTACATTGAATTATTTAAGCATTAGAGATCCAGCTTCGATCATTATAGTTAATTTCTAGTTCTAGTATTGATTGTATTCTCACATGTACAATCTAAAATAAAAGATTTCTTATAGTCATTTTTAATTATTTTTTAACTTTCTGACATTCTATAGATAAAAAGAGACACGTATTTCGCGAAAAAAATTTGACATTCTTTTATGTATTATAGTTATTTATGCAAATTGTAGAAATTCATAAAAACGTCGCTTATATAATTCAATTAAATTATTATATAACGTCGAAACTATTAATCGTACAAAAAAAATGCAATACGTGTACGAAACTACGCTGTCATATACAACAGAATTTTTTAACTATACATTTCAAATTCCATTTTGTAATTTTTATTTTACTTCAATTAAAGTGGAAATATGACAATATGATGATAATTTTTATAAAATTTTTAATTGGTGAGGATGAAAAATATTAATAACAATTGTAAACAAATAGAAAATAATGTATTTATATGAAAATGATAAATTAAAAAATGATAAATTAAATCCATCCATAGAACAATTTAAGATCTTTAAATACATAACATAATCTATTGCATTTTTTATTCGACTAATAGTTGATATAATAATTTGAATAATAAGTATAAATACAATAAGTATAATGAGTATAAATAATTTGAGTGTTCGCACGAGCAGTTTTTCTGCTTATAATATAATGCTATACAAGAATAATTTCACAAAAAAATCTCAAATTTTTTTCGCGAAACACGTGTCTTATATTTTTATCTGTAGAATACATACGCCAGTAAATTAAAAAAACAAAATTAAAAATGATAATATTTCAAAACTCTCCGGTTTGACGTATAATACCTCATATATTTATTTTATATTTATGATATAATTATAAAACACAATAGTTATTTTCTTTTGAAAAATACTTTATAATATCTTGTGTGTGATATAAAAAATATGGAGTCCTATTTTTAGAATAAACCATTATTACGGTTAACAGCACACTTTTGTTTTATTGTAGACCATTGAATTTCTTTTAAGAAAGAATATTCCCATCAATTCTGATATCATTAGACATTCATATCTGCATTATTTTCAAAATATTGATATTAACAGAGAGACCCAACGAATAAAATTGTCCGTATGAGTATTGGTGTGTGGTGAAAGTAACAAATTCAAATGTATACACTGATATTTTTGGTAAAGATATTCAACGCATCAATACTTGAGATTTTTCCAAGAATCAATGACGTAAGCGAAAGTAATTGAATCAGGCGTCTTTTTATTCGGCATCTGCGATACTTTGCGATTCGCAGATGCTGCTTGAAATTGTTCGAAGAAACAAATTGCTAAGACCCTGCAGATTGGTGGTGATTGAGTCTACATTGCAAAGGCCTTGAAGGCGTTTAACGCGCTGGCATCGCGCCGTTTGTGTGATCTGCAAAAAGCTTCTCCCGCCATTCGATTAGACTCTTTGCAGGCGTTAAATCTAACAACTTCTTTACATAGAGATTTTTATATATATTTAATTCTTATATTTATCTTTATATATTTAAAAATATCTTTTAACAAATATAATTTAAAAAAAAGGTCGACGTTTAATAAAATGCGTTATTTTTAATTCTTTATCACATAATATTTTTATATTAAAATTATTTAAATATTCAATATTTAAATAACTTTTATCTTTACTTATTAGCTGATTTTTAATTACAATTATTTAAACGCACATAAAATATATAATTATATACTTTGGAATGAAGTAATCTCAAATAGTCATACATTTAACATAGATAATAATAACAAACAAAAGTTTATACAGTAATTTTTTGAAAAAAAAAAAAAAAAAAAAACGAAACTAAAGGTACTTCCAACTTTGCTCGATTTTAATTCCGAATTTAAGCAGACTGTATAATGATTTATGATCACCCGTTAAGTGATACTCGTTTACATTTACGACAATACTAACAATGTCGGGCACATCATTTCGAGATAACGCGAAGTACTTAATTCGGGCACTTAAAATCATTACCTGACGCCTGAGTATCCACCGACGATAATGAACGTGCAAATTTATTTGATACATCGTACCGCACACCCAATATTAGCTAGCACGTTCACGTGATCGTTGAGAAAATCACGTGACCACCGCTGATATCGAAAGTGGGCTAACTTTTCACGTGTC